GACATGATTTATATTTGTATCTCATTTTTTTTTTGGACAAAATTTATATCTGTGTCTATCTATATATTTTACAAATAAAATTGTCCTAAGAGATCTGATATAATTTAGCAAAAAGTGTGAGATAGATTCTATTCAAAGTTATTTGTATTTTCTTTTTAATTTATTACCATAAACCATTCCCTCATGTGTCCCCTTATCAAAAGCTTAATTAATGTTCATAGACATCTATATATACTAATGTTGGCATGTTTCTTGTGTCCACAGATTGTATTGGTTCGGCCTTCAATGCAAAGAGCACGATGCAATGCCCAAATTGTAGGACAATAGAACCTGGTCAATGGCGCGTTCCAATCGTCCATCCTACCCCAGATCTTAATCCCATCGTTGGTTTGCCTGCTGAACAATTAGCAGTTCTACTGGTAACAAATCCAAACCTAATTTCTATGAAAATATTATATTATTTTGGTTTTGGATTGATGTTCTCCGGTGAGTGCTTTTTTAAAAAATGATGGTGATAAATGTCATACCACTTTTCATGTTTCCACAACGTGAAAATGTGATTCCGCTATATTTTTCATCATTCATAACATTTTTTTTATGATGAAGGTCAATCTAAATCATTCATAACATTCATCATCAAGTTTTTACATTTTCACGGTTTTTAAAATATATACGTCGAGGGTGTTAAAAATCTAACTAAAACATAACACCATATTAATCTACTAAAACTAACTTATTCACGTTAAGATTCTTTTGCAGAAACCTATTTACTCAAACGTTATTCCATTATTCATTTAACAAACCCATCAAGTTAACCCAATGTTTATCTTTGTTAGTGACAACACATTGTTTTCTTTAGTCAACAACAAATTGTTTTCTATGCTCGTAAGATCTTCATGTTTATGGTTTGTTCTTCATATATGTGACTTGAAAATATATCAAAACCCTTTATGCTTTCACTAAAGGTTATTACTTGAATCATGTGATGTCTTATTAAAGGTCTTGTGTTGTGTGTATCTAACAGGGTTTTGGAATGGAGTTAATGTGCCCGTTTGGATACTTAGATCACCTTAATCCTACCAGGTAAGCTTTACATTAAGACTCTTATGTTCTTACAAATTTGACAAAATAACTTTTCGTCTTTCCTAATGAGTTTGCTAACCATCTTCCTCTTACTTAAAAACTGTGTAGGGGTCCAACTCTATGTCCTTATTTCGACTATTCTCTCACCATTCCTCAATATCTTCTTTTAGCTAGATTTGCTGAGATTCCTAATCTCACTAGCCATTTGACCACTGGCTCAGGAGTAGTCCATAATCCTAATGGTTTACCAATGGATCTCTCAAACCCATCATTTTGGCTTACCCCGCTTAGTCCTCTACCAACTAATCCAAGGTATTTTCGAAGTAACTTCAATCCAGAGGTGATCATAGCAAGACATTATTTTACCCATCCAAATTTCGATTACAGGTAAATTTTTCTAGTACTAATTCCTAATATTTTCAATCAAAATTCTTATTTCTAACTTTTTTTTTTTTTGGTCAAAGTAATTCTTATTTCTAACTAAGTATGCGTATTCAAAACTCAAAGAAAGAAAAGTTTGGCTACATCTATTTAAATACCATAAGATGACAACTTTAGAATTTGAATATTTTGACTTTGATACAAAAATCACTCCATCTATCTTTCGAACACATCTACAACATATTCATTTATTTTTATTATCTTTTAGCTAGTTATCGTTTAAATATTATAAATGAAATAATTTGTTAGTTGTTCTTCAAGATAATTTCACATAATTATGACCA